ATCAACTTATATTAAAGATAATTTATTACAAAAGCAAAATTGCAGACTCCCTTCTAGAAAATTTGAAAATATTAATGAAAAGGAAAAAAAATGAATGAAAATTGCATCCATATGTGCTTTGTTTGAAAATATTGCCATATATATACTGTCATTTCTTCATTTATGTCCTGATATTTTATGATGTGATCCTGGACTTGATGATAAAACTGTTTTCAGATCTCCATCAATATCATGATTTCTGGAAGCATATTACTTACTTTCAAGTTTTCTACTGCAGTTTCCTCAATTTGGACCCTGCTAGGGGATATGGAGATAGGATTAGAAGTTTCCTTTATCATTCTGTTTCTTATGTCCCATGGTATAGGCCATAGTTCATTTCTGGGAAGGAAGGTCATAATTTCAGAAAGATATTGGCTCAAATTTGATCCCAGTTCTCACTGATCTGTAGTCACAGCACAGAAAACACAAATTTTGTCTTCTGTAATAGGCATAACTGAAGATATCAAGGGGTGCTGTAGTTTTACACATATGAGTTACTCTAGAAAATTCAAAAATATTAATCAAAAGTATATTATGGCATATAATACTTAGATTTTTATACATCGTTAAATATCTAAACTTAAAGATACTGATAAATTGTCATTTTCAACAGAAAATCACCAATATTTACATTGATCTGTCTTTTGCTTCACTGTATGTAACATGCTTTTCTCTGCTTTCATTCTGGTACACCAGATTCCTACAGGGCATTTATTTGTCTGACATTAGAAAGCTGAGCAAGGACAGTGGGATGACAGCTCAGTTTGAAGAACATCTTACTGTGAAAACTTTAGTCTGAATTACAAGCATCTGCATAAAAAGCTAAACATGTTCATATATGTGTCTTTAACCGCAGCACTTTGGGAGCAAAGCAGGGAGATCAGTGTGTCTTGTTGATGGATGTACTGAATCTAGGTGCAGTGACAAACCCTATCTAAAGAGAATAAAGTGGAGAGTGATGGAGCAGGACATAGGAGGTCCTCCTCTTGACCCTTCACATGTTCTTATAGGTACACATATAAACACAAACATGCATGAGTACATCACACAAATATATTTCACACTCACACATACAGTCACTCACAGAAACTCTCTCTCTCTGTGACACACACACACACACACACACACACACAAATTGGAGCACAAAAGAAATAAAGGAGAATCAAAAGACAAAAAGCAACCAAAGCAACTTTCATCTGGAGTTTCCTTGAAACCAGTTTCTCTAAGTTCTCAAGTGCCGTGGTAACAGATTATGACAAAATTATTATTTTAAACATCAGTAAGAAAGTGGGATTTGAATCAAGCTATGCTTCCATTCAGAGACCAGAATCCCCAGATAGGGAAGCAGAGGCTGAAGTTTCACTTCATAAGACAGCGCACATATTGATGTTGAAATTAGTCCTAGGGACATGTGACAACAGAGGCCTCAGGCTTTAGAGGAGATCCTAAAACCATCATTCTACTAAATATATACTATATTAAAGCAAATCTAAATAACTCATTTGTTATACCCAAAGATTACTCCATCTCTCAACTCTTACCTGAGAAGCTTTCTTATGCAACAAGATGCTGGTTAACACAGAAACTCACAACTGACCAATGTACAGAGAATAGACTTTTCAGACTGATTATTCATGAATGGGACAACTTTATCAGAGGTGGTGGATGACCTCAAAGTAATGGAGTTTTTCAGACAGCAGGGCAGTTACTCACGTGAAATCACAGGATTGGTTACAGGCTACAAAAGTCCCAAGTAAGGTCAATGCAGAAAATTTCCCACATGGACATGGGAAAGTGAGGAAGAAACCACCACTTTACCTTAAGAACTAATTATTGGAAACTAATGGCTGCTGGAAAGGGGAGAGTCAGTATTTTTTTAAGGTTATGACTCTTGGTATATTAACCAGGCTCCAGTGGATGGACACATGAATCCAGTAGTGGGTAGTAAGGTGGTTTACTGTGGGTTATCTAAATACACTG